CAGAGTGGATTGCTCTCTCTGGAAGCCGAAGCAATGGCTGGATTTCAAATAGGGTTTATAGCAGCAGTATAGTCTGGGTTGGGGTTAGACTGGAGATTTTTTGCTTGCAGCTCTACAGGAACATGAAGGCAGGCCTGGGCATGGGGCGGAATAGAGAATTATCTCGCTCTGTATACAGCTGCACAATATCAGACTATACTTTTTTATGGTGACATTTTGCTGACAATGCAAACCACAAGGGCAAAGGGAAAAAAAAAAAAAAAACGCCTCGACGTTGTAGACATTATCTTCATTAAGGTTAGCCGGCCAGCATGGGACCAAAGTGGGAGTTTGTGAAATTGAGCTGCAAATGTTATAAGTCTGCAGTAAAACTGCTAAAAGCTAAAGCTTAAGTAAGGCCAGAATTCCTAATGGCACCTGGCCATTCCTAATGGCCTAATGGCCCTTACAGGAGAAAACGGGAACTGTGCATCAGAGGAGGCAGCCGTCATTGGGTGGGGGTTAAAGCTTCTCCAGGACGGCGCTGGGACACCCAGCGTGGGGCAGCGGGTCCCTGCGCCTCAGCCCCGCAGGACTAGGACTCCTCAGGGCTTGTGAGGGCCTGAAAGGGCCTTCTGCTCCCTTCCTCCTGCTGCTTCCTGCAGTGAGCACCCCCCAGGTACACTGACCTCACCGCAATCCACTTCCAAAATAAAATAAAAAAAAAATTAAATAATAATAATAATAATAAAGGCTTAGAAGAGAGATGGATCAGGTCTTAAACTGAAAATATCTGAGATTTGATCCTCTCCCTGCCGAAAAAAAAAAAAAAAAACATGCAGGACAAGGGGGAGAGAAAATGGCATGCCAGTACTTATAAAGTCTTTTTAGATATAAATACGTTTACCCATAAACATAATAATCAGAAAGTCTTTGAAATTATACAGGAATTTAGATCAAATAATTTTAACACCAACAAGTTTCCTAACTTTCATTCCCAAACTACATTTACTAGATTTTTCTCCATTAGGTAGATGAAAAAATAATGATTAGAAATTAAAAAAAAAATGCAAGTCATGGAATCATACAAAAGTTCCTTTTCTATACATGCGCTCATGAAGCGTATGCTTCAGAGAAATTCTCAGATTTTTAAGTCTGCTTTGCTATCGGAGAGTATTCTTCCCCTGGATCTCTTTTCCAGTTTATAAAAAAAAGCACACTACCAGTTTGAGAGTTAGAAGCACAGCTTCTTCTTTCAGATAACATGAAAGCCCTTTTCTGTAAAGCTGCAAGATGCTGACTGTTACTTCACTACTTGATTTTGTATCATTCTACTTGAGTATGTAAAGCACAATTGACTCCAAAGAGCTACTCTAGAGTACAGTCAAAATCAGAAGAATTTTAGTCCCCAAACATTTAGCCCAAAACATTTAGGAGATTTCAATATATTCAGTTGAGCTTTGATTGAGCTTTACACTGTCTGTTCTGTAGGAGCTGCATGATATAGTTAGTCCAGTCTGATTATGCTTTGAAAAGAGATTTGCTACCAATTCCTTCTCAAAGAAGCACGTAAGTCCAACAAACCTAACTTGTCTAACTCTGAAAAATATGCCTGCTTCCTAATGAAATCTGCTCAACTGGAGGCTTACAAATTAGTCTCAGGAGGCAAGCAAGGGCCATAAAAAGAAAGCAACTAGACTTGCTTTCCAATAGTAATAAGTCTAAGTGCTAGTCAGATTGTACAGAAGGTAATAAGGCCTGCATTATGAGGCCTCATTATTTGAAATACAGAGTGCATCCAAAGCAATGTTTGCTGAAGCAGTGTAATTCTTGCATTTTCTACCCATTTTGGAATCCCAATATGAGCTCATTTAAAAGGCTTTTTTAAGTTTATGGACCTTAGAACTGACTCCTGATAAAGTAACACTCAGTAATAGTATTTTTCTAAACCTTGAAATCAAAAAGTTTTTACTTAAAAATAAGCTTTTATTTGAAAAGAAATATATCTGAATGCACAGTTTACTTTCTGATTAAATTCCTGCAAAACATGTTACTCAGGAAATTCAGAGGGAATTTTAAAGGAATTACAAAAGCAGTAAAGTACTTTTTATATGAATTTATATTTCAACTGAGGGTGAAACATGAACATTGTCTTAAACAAAATCAAAAGCATGTATATGAGCTAGATGGGCATGTCATTACTTGTATTCTGCATAAGGCTTTACACTCAACCTCGATGTTCCAGTATGGTATCAAGGGAAGTTCATAGTGTAGAGAAAAAGGCAATCTAAAACATGTAGGACTAGTGTTTTAGATAGAAGGTGAGAGTGCCAGCATTAATCATCTGACTAATGCAAATGAAGACAAGGGCATGTCCTATAACATACTCTGCACAGGTTTTTAATGGCAAGGTGAAGGGACAGCTGAGACAGAGAGGGAACACGTTAACGTCTTCCCATAGAGCAACCTTTACTCCTTGTACAGAACTTCTCCACAAATGACAGTGGAGAAGCTGGTGCAGCTACACCTTTAGATCAGATTGTGAAGAACTTGGTTTTAATACTAGAGATTTCAGATGCAAAAACAGAATGGCCAAATGTTACCAAAGCAAGCTTGGCTATATGATAGCAAAACAGCAAAATGCTTCCATAGGTATCATGCACAATCAGCAGTATCAATCCACACCTCAACTTCCTTCAAGTCCTATGGAGACCTCTGGCTTGGTGAGCTGTGCTCTCAGCATAAAACTTCAAATGCACACATTTTACCGATTGCTTTAGAATGGTTTGATGTCAAAAACAGGTAGAATGAATTTTATGATACAACAGCGACTTTCTTCTAGGAGGCTAAGAACAAGTGTCATAAAAGATTATGTCAGAAGCCTAACTGCCAAAACAATAAATGAACAGTCTGTTAACAGCAAGCTCTGATCTTCATTCTTGCAAGTGACATTTGTTTAGTTAAATAGCCTTGCCACCTTTAGAGCAAATCTGGGTGCTCTGACCTTCCACTAGTTTTAGACTAGAAAAGGCACCTTAGATTAATGGTTGTAAACAGTTCCCTCAACTTGTGATTCTTGACCTTCCAAGTTGATAGTATTTTTACCCAGAGCATAATGAGGTAAAGCATAAAGGCTTTTCCTCAGAGGGGACATAGACCCCTCACATTCCAGAAAATGTGGCCAACTTAGCACCTAGCAAGCCAGAGCCCTTCAGGCGCTTATCCTGGATAGCTGAAGAGTTCTTCTAAGTAAAGAAGTGTGTCCTCAGTGACTAAAATTAGGATACAAACTCTTCAGGGACAGCCTACCACGCACATTCTGTCACCATAAAACGCCAATAGGTGGATTAGGCAGTCAGCTAGAGAGAGAGAGATGTGTCAGCACCAATCATCTGACTGCCTGTGAAGGGAAACAATGAATAATATCAGACAGTTAAGGTTGCAAGTAATTGAAAGTATCTGCAATGTAATGATTAGACATCTGGCAACAGTATCCTGTTCCAGTTAGCACATCATTTTGGATAGCTATAGTTCAGCTAACTGAGGTTGCATTATACATGCATTATAAAGATTTTCCAGTGTAGAGCTCCTTTAACTCTGGAGGTCTTCAGGATTCTTATATCAAATCCACTGCCTTTAAAATAATAATAATAATAAAAAAGTGTAATGTAGTGAATCCAACCAACATATTAAATACATTAAAGTCTGAAGTTTCTTGCCAAAGCTGACTGGTCCAGGAGATGGAATGTGTGGTTCTCTAAGACGGCTACAAATAGATCCTCTCCCACTAGAGCTGAAAAAGCCAGCTGGGCCTGCCAGCAAAAATGTAAAGCAGACATTAATCACAGCAGCCTGCACCTTCCCTTCATGTGCAAGCTCTGTGTATCAGCAGGGAGAAGAATGGAAAGCACCGAACATAACTGAGTCGAGAATATTCTTATGCACTTCCTGGATCACTACTAGCTCTAAGGTACTGTAACTTCTTTGTTGCTATTAACTTCTCTGGATAATGCAGATCAACCAAAAGCAATTTATCCACAAAACACCAGCCTCATGGGTTTGTCTGAGGTTTGCTTTTAATTGCACTGCACAAAAGTTAAGCCAAGTTGGCAGTCTCAGATACTAAAGATCTTCAGTTACTAACAGAAGAAGTAGGTGAACAGCAGCAAATACAGTGACCCCAGAAGGATCAACACCTGTGTTTCAATCTGCCATCTTTAGTATGGAAATCTAACCCTTCTCTTATGACACTGTCATAGCATGAGTTAGACATGCTTGAGAAATAAAACTAACAAACTTGCCACAGTTTTTCCTCTAATATTTATTGTAATGAATACACACCCTTAGGGCTATCTAATTCCTTCCTACAGCAGCCACATCACTGCAGCAGGAATCCCTTTCATGTTTCACAACAGCGAAACAGATTGTCAGTTCTCTTGGCCATCATTCTTCTAGGGACAAGATACCCAGAACGAAATATCAGCCTCTAATGTACTGGCCCCCTCACTGGTTTGTCAGGAATTTGAAGACTTCAAATGAAGTAGTATCACTTGGAAATTGATATGAACAGGTAGTTCCTCAGTCACCAGTGCAATTAGCTCTGCAAGTCTTGAGCAACAAGGTTTCAAAATCTCATTACAGATATTTGACGACATCCTGAAAGATATCAGCAACAGATTCTCTAAGTGATCTACAAACAGTTTTGTGAGAGGGGTAATAAAAAAATTTAAAATATCCTTTAAAATACTTCAACGATAGCTTTTCCTTTAGCTTAAAGAAAAACAAGAGGAATATTCAAAATAACAACATGTGATTTGCAACTGTTAATGTGCTCTTCACAAATCATTCATGGACACACTACTTGGCATGGATATGGCACAAATTTCTCACAATATAAACCCTCACACCACTCCATTTTCTTGAAAAACAGTGGATAAACATGTCATTCAAACCTAGAGGTCAGCAATTATTCGCATGCATACAGAATTTATTGATTAGCTACTTTAATTAAGTGGTAGTACCTTCTTTTTGCTGCAGTAAATCTGCCATTTCTTCTCTGGAGGGAGTGCAAACATAGCCTCTCTGTTCTTATCTGTGAGATCCAATTCATCCTGGAGATCATGAAAAAGAAGGGAAAAAACAGTCATAAGCTGCATTCATCAGTCTCATATATTGGGAGGAATCGGGGTTAGACATGTTGGCTAGCTTTCATCTCATATATTGGGAGGAATCGGGGTTAGACATGTTGGCTAGCTTTCAGTAGCACCGAAAGACTTGGTGCCTTCCAAAGATTGTCCATTTCAAAGCTCCACATTATCCCCACCTCTTTGACCATGAATCTGGTTTCCTAACTTTTGTCTTGTTGCTGCAAGTACTCCCTATCCGGGCAGAACCGATAAAAAAGGAAATCAGTGTCAAACTTCCCTAAGCACTAGCATCCTATTAGCATTGGTATAGGAATAGGAGAGATCATACTTTGGGCAACAAACTGCATGTCATGAAAGGAGTGAAATGAAAAGACTCAGAGCACCAGCTTACATAACACAGCTCCCAACTCTGTTACAAGCTCCCTCCGCATACACTGCTGACCTCCCCCAGGCTTAGGTTCTCTCCTGTAAAAGACTGGTAATGATACATCCTCTCCTATGCAATGTGTCTATAAAATCCTCAAGGCAGGCATGGCTACTCAGCACAGACCACAACGGCGCTCCAATCTCAGCCAGCAATTTCAGGTGATAACAGGATTTGAACAAATAAGTATGATCTTCGGGTGCCTAAATGAAAGTCTGTGCGATATAAAAACAAGCTTCAAATAATGTTTCCATGAATTAGTTTTGGCCCCCACAATATATTTAAAAGCATTTGTAGAGGGAAGTGTCCAGGTGTCCAGTATCAAGATGACACTGTAGCTCTGCAAAAGCTGCCCGGGCAGATCCTGGCGCCCGCACTAACCTAAGCCAGGCCAGACAATACCTCTTTAACTCAGCCCAACAATGCCTCGTTTGGAAAGCTTTCAGGGCTGGGAAACTTGTGAAAACAGTGAGCTAAATTGCACACTGAGCCTGGTAGCGGCTGCTGACAGATTTAAAAGCCCACAGAGATTTCAGCTGCAGAAAGGTACAAAAGAAATGCAAACAGTAACAAGGCAAGGTCAGTGCCAGCAGCACAAGGTAGAAAGAGCTGAAGGATTTTTTTTTTTAAAGCAAGAAAAAGTTTAAAGAGAGAGAGAGGAAAGAAAAAAAAAAACACCTTTAGCTTTGCAAAGAGTTCAAACCATGTGGAAATGTTTAGGGTGAGTTTCCAAACAAGGGGGTAGCCAAGCGAGGCAAGGAGTTTTATCCTTGCTACACACAATTAGAAAGCTCAGGCCAGGATCGCATTCTTGGGGGGTGAGGGAGAGCGAAATGACATGTAAGGTCTTCAGACAAGCACAGGAATGCTCGTGTAGGTCAGGCGTGTGGGAGGGAAAGATGGGGCGGACAGGGAATCAGAAATGCCAGGTTTGGAAGAAGACACGCAGGGGCTGGAGTACACATCTGAAATGAGCTAGCTGGGCTCAGCTAAATCCTTGGTGGGGGCTGTAAATCATTGTTCTTGCTTTATTGAATTGCAAAATGATTTTTGCTTTCATATTATAAAGACTAAATAACTTGCTCTTCTAATACATGCCACTCTTAGAAGCCTGGTGAATAAGCAGCGAGAGTTCTTCTCGGTAGGTGGATTTTCTACAGCAGCAAGTTGAAAGGTAGCTAACTCCACTTGGTTTTCAAAACAGTTCTGCCTACCAGACCAGCTCTCCAGCTTTCTGTTGTATTCACACACTGAATAATGAAGAGCTCAACCGATATAGCAGAAGAGAGTCATTTTACCAGGACACCACTCCCACTGACTAAATGCATCTGGAGGGCAGAATGCTTCTTCTTAGCAACTTCTTGCCGAATCCTTCTGTAGACACTGTTCATATGAGGGACATGCAAGTCCCAAGCAACTAATTTTGCATGCTGATAGCACTGACTTTCTTTTTAGGAGAGATGCCTAGAAAGGTGGGTTGAAGGGATGGAAGACCCCGTAGGAACAAACCCACCAGAAAAAGAGCAGATAAGGACTGGCAGGATTAACTACCCTTCCTTTTGAAGCATCTAGTGATTATTATGAGAGCAAAACGCTGGGCTCCAGCCCATGGGTCAGATGGTGAGGTTATGAGCAAGAATATTTGCACAGGAAGAGATGCCTCTTCCAAAATGTCAAGCTCTTTGACAGCCTTCCCCAAAATATGTGGGTACTCTTTGGCAGGTGTGCTTCTTCACTAAGAGGAAGAAAGGAGTGAGAGGAAGTGACCTACCTGCCCGCCTCTACACTGTTTACATCTATTCTGCTCTATAAAGAATCAGAAATTGCTACAAAACTCAGAAGGGATGAATCCTTCTTCTAGGAGATCTCCAAATTCTTTTTTCTTTCCAATTCCCAATCCCCTTCCAAATTGGAAAAACAAAGTAGGTCCATGACTGCAGAGGAAATGACTGGATCCAGCACAGAAATAAGATCCTGGATGAGGTGGGCCACTTCCCTATTCTAACTTGGAATGCAAACCGAAGGCACAAAAGAAAGCTTGGTGTTTCAGAAAGAAGCAGGAACAACCACAGCAAGTGCTGAAAAAAAAATAATCAGAAGGGCGATTTGCTCCATAAATAGGTCATTCTGACCTGGCAACAGAGACAGATCTGTCCAAATGTAGAATTTCAGGCCCAGAGTCAGCTCAAGGGCAGCCAGCACCTATTGGGGGAAGAAACTGCAAAGGTTGGCAGCAAAGGGGAAGAACTACAACCTCTCAATGGAATCATCAAGCCTGTGGTTAGAGATAGGTTAAGGAAGCCCATGCGACTAAAATCCCAGGGAGTAGGCAGAAAGGGCAAGAGTTTTTGTCAAAACCAAGGGGCAGGGGGAAGACTTTCTTCATCACCTGAATCAATTTCCCCACAGAAATGTAGCAAGTCCTCTTCTGTGCCTTGGGTGGACGACTTGGTTCCAGCAATTCAAGCCAGAATGATCCTGCACAATGAAGCTCAGGTTCCTGGCTCTTAAAAGTACTTCAAGTTGCAAGTGCTCTACTGAAACAGATTGAAAAGACATCTGCCTTTTCTTCAGGGAGGTGTAAAGTACATCAAAGCACATCCAGTTAATACTCCTTATATTTCTCCCAATTATCTATTTCCTTTTTAGTTTTATTTACACAGAGGGATGCATTCTGTTATTTTCACTTTCATGTGGACATTTTCTTTTTACTGACACAGGTTGCATTTCATTGATAAAACATTTAACATGTACTGGAACTGGATTTGAGACTCAAATATTTCCAGACTACTTCTAAGGTAAAAAGGGAAAGATGGTCTCCATTCAAAATGTCCACAACTCAAAGAAAGGAGAGGGGGAAAAAAAATAGAAACTGAATGAGAAGGAGAAACGGTGAGGGAAATCAAACTATCCTTCGTTCTGAGGAGCACTATAATTGTGGAAGATGGATTTGATGGGCAGTAGTCGTTGGTTTGATCATGATACCACTCAAAGCCCAAAACAAGCTCAACAGAATGACGTTTCTTACTTAGACTGTGCAGCACTTCTCATAATGACATAAAATGAAATTTATATAGAGAATAAAAAATATTTGGGAATGCAGAGGAGACTGGTTCTACTGAAGAATCGTTAATGTCTGTTGACAACTGTACTGAGACTTGCATTGCATCTCCAGCAATAAGACATGTATAGAAAGGCAGCATAGGGTCACCAGATAACTGCTCTTCCGCCTGGAGACTAGGACACCTGAGATCCACAGCTCAAACACAGTTTTCCAGCTCTATCTAGAAAGTGCCCCTTCCTGGGAAGCTGCCTCAGTTTCAGGGTTTTCTCATTCTACTTGCCCCAGACATTCCCTGGTCAGTCCAGGGAGTCTTCTTTGTCTTTACTTTTTAAGTAACATAAAATAAGAGATCCTTTCACTGTCCCCAGAGGGAATAGCTATGGCGGGAAATCAGTTTTCATTTTACATCAGAAAATCCAACCATGAGACATAATTCACAGGAAAATAGGCTCACTAGTTCTGCTCACAAAGCTGCCTCTTTTGCCAGTCTGCTGCACTACAGTCCTGCAGCACTTCTTCATTGCTTAGAAACAGATTGGTACTTGGGCAAAAGGACGGCCAGCCCTCAACATCAACAAGCAGCATGGAAACTCAATCCTCAGATGGCATAAACTGGCAAAGCTCCACGGCAAAGTTAAACTTTACCCCATATTGTTACATTCAAAATAGAAACTTAAGCACCATCAGACTAGATGAGACCAGCAGCTGATCTGACCTATGACCTACCCCAAAAGCTTCAGAGGGCAGTGCAAAACCCTGCCAGTACAAACCTGCAAAACAAACTAAATGGACAATCAACTCCCAACTTTCTGTGTCAAAAGACTGGCTGCTTCTGTGAAGCAGGTGAGTTCATGTCCTTTCAAGATGCAGACAGCATTCGTATTTTCAAATATTTTTGCTCAGCTTCAAAAAATTTTACTTTGCTCAATCAGACCAACATTATCCTTAATGGTTCTTCTCCATTCATCAAATAAGGAACACAGCTTAGAAAGCAGGAATAATGTTAAGATTCCTTTAGACACTCTAGAACCTGAATGACTGGGAGGTTTCCTCTCTAAATAACTGAATAATTTGCTTTCATACTTACTGCAAGAATTCAGGTTTCAGGAGATTGTTTGTTTTTATGTTATGACCTTGCACTATATGAATTTCAGTTAAATGTACCACCCATACCCTGCTTCCTGCCCACATTCCCAGTCCTTCTTCCCTTCTTGCACACACATACCTTTTCTTCCCCCATCATCTTTTTCCTCACTCCCCTGCACCTTCTTTTCATCTCATGCACAAATACCCCTTTACCCACCTCAGTCATTCTCTGTCAAGTCTGTTAAACAGCACTAAATTAACCCAGGCTCGAAAAAGAAGTATGTCCTGTTACATACTACTGTTACATGCATAACACATCCTGTTACCCCAAAATCCACAAGTACATTTATATATTTATTAGACAAGTACTTTTAACAAAGGGGCATAAAT